CACCTCAAATGGCTGCCAGCTGGGTCAGTGGTAATTTTCTCAAACGCTTAAGCGATCAGATTGAGACACATGCAAATTCTTAATTAATTGATTGATCAAATTTTTTCCTTTATTAACGGCTATTTAATCGGCATAAAATGAACTGATAATCATTTGGGATTAAAATCTGGAAATGTGCCAAGATCATGCCCTAAACAAAAATTAATCCCGCGGAAAATAAATTTAGACCATTCACGTCAAAAATTTAATTTACATAAAATAAGTCTTAAATCATTTTATAAATGCCTGAAGGTTATGAGGAGAAATGAAAGACTAACCGACGAATGACCTTAAACAGACGACGTCCGTTTTCTCAGAACTTGTTTTCGCGGACTATATTTTATTTGCCTGCTGCTCTCGACAATTTGCTTACCAGTTTTTCTACTTATTTTGATACTCTCCCTACGTGAAAATCAATCCACTATTTTAAACTGATGGACACAATTAATGTTTCCTAAACTTGCCCAGGTACATAAATGAATAAATTAGGTGCAAGTGCTATAATATTATTTGTTTTCTTTTAAATCGATTCCAGTAGTTCCTTTCATAATGCTGCAAACTAACACACATTAGTAATATTTTTCATGTTCAACTTATTTGTGATTTTCCAGTCCTGCTAGTCTGCTTCAGGGGTACTGGAGATATTTGTAGTATTACATAGTAGTGGATGCGCTATTGATAATACCTTCAAATCACTTTGCGAATACTACAGTTGTAGCATTTGCGTGGAAGAAATGGGGCGAAGACCAGCGAGATGGTAAAATGGTAAAATTTAAAATTTCAGACGTAAATCTGTCAGCCTTTTAGTTATCGGTACTGCAAAAACAAGCCTTATCCAAAATCAAGGTTTTGTCGAGGTGTTCCTGGTAAGCGCTGTTTGCATTATTTTCTCAGCGAATGGCCAAATGCACCATCGGCCAGCCAGCCGGTTAATATTTACGCTGTTTTGCAACGTTTCAGATCCGAAAATCCGAATTTTTGACCTTGGAAAAAAGAAAGCGACGGTCGACGAGTTTCCTTTATGTGTGCATTTGGTATCGAATGAATTCGAGCAACTTTCGTCTGAGGTAGGTTTGATAACTTCTTGGTAAATTTTGAACTCATTTGATCATTATGAATTCTATTTATGGAATATTCTTTGCGTTGAATCAATAGTAGGATTCTTTGTTACTTTGGAATGCATAAAGAAGAATATGTATTCTAGTGTTATGTTACAAAAGTAGATCTTGTTATAGAATAAGTCGATGGTCTAAGTTTATTATACGGTAACCCATCAAGCTCAAATTTTGCTCTCAAATATTTTATATTCGTACTCGCGATGTTTGAGATTATCGCAATGGTTCGTTGTCAAAGTGATCAGTGCTCATTTAGCCTGCCGTTGTTTGCGCAGTACGACATACGTTTGTTCAAAATGGTAAAACATCCTGCTCCTAAAGCTCTGGTTCTTGTAGTTCGAAATGTCAGTGCCAAATTTATCGTTTTCCTTCTCCGGCGATATTTTCTAAA